CGTCATCGTCAGTTTAAGCCAATGGCAAGCGGCGATTTGACTGCGTTCGCGTTCCTGTGCTTTTGCCATGGCTTGATAATCAATTCTAGTGTCATTTACAACAAAAACCATGTCAATGCGGGAGAAGATGTCTGCTAATAATTTATGCTCCTTTTACATTGCGCAGGTGAATTGTGCGATGTAGTTTATCTGGCGGAATTTGCGCGGGGAATACTTGTCTGAAATGCTCTTAAAGACTCCATACAAAGGCCTGCGATCAGTTGACTTGTAAAATTGTCTTCCAATTAGCATATCTTGAATTATTTCACTGATGACTACATCGCCAAGAGTTCACGGCTAAAGATGCTGTTGAGGGTACTTTCATTTCTTATAAAAGTGCATGAAGAAGAAATTCGTAGGTCGATCTCACCAGAAGAGGACGAATGAATCCTGTTGTACTGCAGCTGTTTGGCTTTTATGCGATATTAATTTTCACGTAGTTCACAAGACTTCCTCCCTCGTTTAGGTAAAAACGTGCAGAGCTTTCGTCCATCATCTGATGGCCATCATCAGAGCTGGGTGTCATTCTTGTAAAAGTCTCACGTTAACACTAGGTCAAGGAGACTATACGGCTCTATCTTACTTCTTATATAGACTCAATTGAGCCAAAATAAAATTGAAAACCTAGATAGATAGATATAGAGTGGTTTGACTAATTCTCTTTCATACTTGTCCTGCTACTTTTGCTCGAGTGTGTGCATGTGTGCATGTGGGTGTGTTAGCGTGTATACGCAATACCGGTACTCAGAGGTATAAAGAGGCTAATGTCAGGCTGAGGAGCTCCATCAACAACCTGATAAAGTGAACTATCCACAGCCCTCCGGAAGCGTTGATCACGAGGTGAAGATCGGCATCTGAATCTGGATGTGCCAGCATGGTCACTTCGGCGAGGACTGATTTAATACTTTCGAAAATGTGTTGCGCATCTTCATATAGAGAGATGTCCTTTTTATGGGCCTTTAGGTACTCCAAAGGATTCAACATGTCTGCACATTTGGGAATGAAGCGATAGTAAAAATTTGCCATTCCGAGAAAACTTCTTAAAGTCTTGACACTGCGTGGAAGGGAGAAATCTTTGATAATCAAAACTCTCTTAACTTGGTAGCATGCCGTGAGCATCAAAACGATGTCCGAGGAAAGTCAAGGAATAGGCGTCAAAACTCTTTTTTCAGATAAAATCACCAGATGGTGATGATATATTCTTTTAACCAGTGTAACCAAATGCTGTTTGTGCTGTTCCATATTGCCACTAGCAACTAGTATATCGTCAATGTAGACGAAAACTCCTAGACCACGAGTAATCTCGTTCATTTTCCTCGAAGCTTCTGTGCCGCGTTTCTAAGCCCAAAAGGCTTGGAGACAGTATTCGTTCACAGAGGGTAACGATGGCATTATGGGAAAGATGTGTCAGTCTATGGAGTTTCTGAGTAAAAATACTCTTGTCCACTTTTAGTGCCACATTCTGATTGGTTCAACGGAGAAGCTTAATGCGGTGACTGGGTTCGCCTAGTCACCGTGGCACACAGTGCCGGTGTGTCATTCTCCGCTTG